CTCAAACATGAGCGAATGAAACAAAACACAACTCCAGATATGTTTGTGGCGAGATAACAGCATTCAGAGATAACAGAGTCTAGTGTAGTGTAATATAGGACCGTTAATAACACTGTGTAAGTAAAAGTTTCAACATTATGAGACATTCTGGACTAGTAAATAGTCTTGATTGATGGGCAAAACAAACCAATATCCTGGAAGCGATCTGTAGTGCTTTTTTCTCTGGATTGGAACAGATATGGTAATCTGTATCACTGCATGACACTTATAGTGATTTGACAAATGTTTTACAGATAAATGTTTAAATATTTCAAGAAAAGTCTGCTTGGCTTTAAAAATCTCTTTATACATGCTCCTTTCAGCTCACCCCATGGTGATGAGCGATCTATATGACGGTTCCATTTGTCGTCACTGTAAACTGAAAAAAAATGGAGTCAAATAGCAGTTTGACATTCAGACATTCTCGATTCCAAGATTGCCAAACAGCTCTCCTTCACGTGGGTTTTTAATAGCCAATCTTATCTATCCTATTTCACGGCAGCGTTTACCATGCGGGCCACATAGGGTCTGCATTTCAAACCTTATCAAGCCTCCTTTCTCTGACGACTCGAGAGCTTGGCAGATAAGTGGCTGTTATCTAAGAGCAGTGGAAAGCCACAGTCGAGCGGCCCGCCCACAGTGACTTTGAATGCAGTGATAAAATAGAGCTGAGTGCTTTGGAGGCCCAGACTCATTCAGAACATTGGGACAGATCCAGTGTGGCTCAGCTGTGTCCTCACAAACAGGTGAGATGGACACACATCACAGCCAGGTGCTCATTACATTTGTCTGTTCACTGACCCACACTCACAGACAGAGGGGAGGTGGAAATGACAAAGACAGCAGAAGGAGGAGCTCTAGGGCTGCCGTGATAACAAAATTTGAAGTGCGGTATATTGCTGAAGTAAAAATAGACGCTTAATGACAATACTGAAAACAAGCTATAAAAAATTATCCCAAAAAGTATTCTAAATGTACAATACAAAAAAAATAAAAATAAAATAAAAATTCAAGCCTCTACAGCTCAAATTGTATCATACTGTAGAAAAAAAAAATTACATAAATATTGAGGATTGTTCCATCTGTCGATAAGTCAATGTAGTATTTATAGTGACCGGGCTAAGGAGCTCTACTCAAGTACCCGAGAGTAAAGGATGGCAGAACTATTACGGAATTGCCCAAACCAAATAAATAGAAACATATAATAAATATGAAAGAATAAGGGTGTAAGAGTATATAGTAAATATTGAATTTCTTTTTACTTAAAATGACAGTATAATGTTTGTGTGATTCTGCTGTTGTTGTCTAAAACTGTACTCACAACTTTATTTGAAGCCTGATGAAACGTGCTACCCAGATATAATGTAGACTGTACTTGTAATTAATTCAGTTCAGAGACTGCTCAGATGCTTGGCTAAATATGTTCAGAGTTCAATTTGTACTCAAGTGTAATTACTGAATTAAGAGCAGGAGTAAAACTACCAAGTACAACATTAATGGGGAACTTCAATGGTAAATAAATGCAATTTCTATAAAACCACAAAACTTGAAGCCGTGTTGTTTAGTCATGCTATTTACACAGAGATAAAATACTTCACAGAGAAGAATAATGAAAGTAAAGCTTTTCGAAAATTGTCTTCTCTTGTGGGTAAACACGTGCTTTAGAAAACATATTCAGAAAAATCACTTAAAGTAAATTGCTTTGGTAAAACTTGTTACCTTCCACCTTGAGAGATGTTTTTCCCCTGCTCACATTTGGATTCACTTTTTATCACTTGTAGAGGAAACTTTCACACATGTGCTGCCAACTTCCAAATTGGACATAAAAGATGAAAAGATGCGCATAGAACAGCCATACAAAACAAACAAACAAGCAGATCCGGAATGCAATGACCACGACACCTGCTGTTTGCTCCGGACAGAGGGCCCATGAGTACGGGTCTGTCTCTGAAGAGCAATAGAGCAGGGCATAATTATCACTTGTCGAGTGGCAGACGCAGGCCACAACACTATAGGAGGTCTATTGCCTTGTGAGATTCAAAGGCCACGAGAGAGCCCTGAACGCAGCACTAAAGCCATGGAAACAACATCACAGAGCGGCTAAGGGCGCACAGGGGGACCGTGGTCTGAGAGGGGCCGCCCTGACAAGCATTTTAAACAGGTGCTCCTGCCAGACATCTGCACCATATAACATGTCTATACTGCCACTGCTACTATGGGAGGGGGACATGAATATGGTGAATATACACTATATTGTCTCTCTATAAAAACTGAGGATTTTTGAACATTTGATTCATGTTTCATGTTTTGAAAGTACAGTTTCAGAAAGTATAAACAAAATTATTTTATCTAACTTACTGTATACATTGTAATGCACAGACACAATATTCTGACCACGTGCTTTTGGTTTGTGGTTTGGTTTTGTTTCAACCATAATCAACACAAACAGGTTGTTAGTTATTGTTTAGTGAGCGGTTATTTAAATACATGTAACAAAAAAAATTATTACAAGTTTTTATCATGTTATGTGTTCATCACATGTAGTATATAGTATTTGAGTAGATTTGACTGAATAATTGGATGACAATTTTTTTTTTTTTTTTAATATTTTAAATATATTTAATCTTGTTAAGAGCATGATTGGAAAGTAAAAGGTGTTTTCAGAAAACCGCCTTTGAATGTACAATATCCAGTATAACTCTATGGATACAAGTTGATTTCACTAAATATGAAAACATCTTTTGGTGCAGAGTGGACAAATTAGTTGTTTCCACATGAAAGCTTGTATGTTTAAAGACCAAACCGACAAAAAAATAAAATAAAAAAAAAAATAAATAAATGGGTTTAGCATCTATGTCTCCCTGATGCATTCCTAAAGACTCATTAAATAAGGGCTTATACAATGTTGCTTTTTGGAAAATACTAAAAACTGTCAAATAAAGGGTTCTTCAGCTTCACTTTTTGCACTAATTGCGTGTTAACTGAACACATATTCCCCCAATTACTTCACTGGAGTTTAGCAAAAATATTTTCTGTTATACATTTACACCAAAGCAACTTTAAGTTAAAGGCTGCAACACCTAACTACATCCAAAAATACTCTCAACGGTTATGAAAACCTTTTGAATACAGTATTAGGCCTATTGGTGACTCATAGCCAGCACATTAGCACAGCCTGGAGTCTTAGTTATTCCCCTGACATCCCATATTGTTACTATAACTTTTGATTACAGTCAGATAAAACTTAGAGTGCGTCTGAGAGCCAGAGTCTGTCAGTCTGTCTTTGAAAAGCCATTCTTGGTTCGCTCAAATTGATCTATAGTGAAATCCATCCAACAAGCCCCAGACATATGCATGCAAATTGGGGGCATACTTATTATTACTTAAGCTATTGCATTGTTAAATGGCTTTGCGATATGGCAGACAATGTATTTTCCCCATTTAAATGAATTACTGTCTTGGCACAAAACGTAGGGGCTGGAATTGGCATCAGCCCCACAATTGTGAGTAATCATGTAGGGGATAATATGATGACGAGCCGAATCAAAGCCGACAGAAGAGGCTATTTTAGGTGATTTCTGTTGCCAGAGCACAAACAAACGGCCCATTGTCGCCCAGTGCTGTCAAGCAAAATAGGATTCACTCCATTTGCCTAAACTGTCACCGTGACAGAAAACAACGCAAACAATACCAATCCAACGGCTATTATACAGTACAACAGCTGTCCGCGCCCAGCTTAAAAGCACATTTTCTGCAGAGCCTCGCGTTTATGGCTTTTAGACTGTGAAATGACTGCACTTTTATCATCCACTCTCCAACCGCTCCTTATTACGGACTGTTTCACTGATGATGGATTCAAGGAGTCTTATATAAGAGTTAATTAACGGCTCTTCAAGCAAAGTAAAGATACATGTGTAATGTGTTTTTCCATCAATTTGTTATAAAAAGAACAAAGTTGTATTTCTGATGTTGGTGGTTAAGAGTTATAAATATATGCTCCTTTATGCGACAATGGATTATAACAAAGTTATTTTCTTTGTAACTGTAGTAAAAGTTGATCAAGTTAACTTAATCTCTTTTTAAATGCATATCAGTTTTGGAGGCTCTCTATCTTAAGCTTATGACAGAGAATGTTAATGTGAATTTAAATCAGAAAGTGGAAGATTTCCAGGTGTAAACAGATAAAATAATAATATAATTGGTGAAGTTAATCAGATGTGTAAAACAATGTAAAATCAGTGATATTGTAATGAATTGACTGTTTTGGCAAACCACAGATTCCTCAACACTGTTATACTGGTTACATTTCATACAGCAATAACACCAATTCTCCTCATAGAAATGTGTCTCCATCACGGTTTCAGTCCACATTTGACGTGTGTTTTTGTGCGACAAGCTTGGCATCCATCCAACAGCTACAGTACAATGACTATAATTCAAGCTTATACGTCTCTCATGATGCAATTACACAGAAAAGCAGCATGCAGGGATTTTCACACACACTCATAATGTACAATGAAATTAAGGTGCAGGAACAATTCATTACATCCACTGGAACTAAAGGGGATGATGTGGACAAGCGCAGAACACACAAACACCACACATTCAATGGAGAAGTGGGAATGAAGGAACTCACATCCTGCTGCGCACTGACACTCACTGGCTAGAAACAAAGTAAAAGCACAATATGAACAAACACTGTCTACAGAATGAGCTATACTGTGGGATTACCTAGCCTTTTAAGTGCTCAGAACACTTATGCGGCTCCTGGAACAGCTCATGCATGCACACTTTTGGGATTGAGAATGAAAAAAAAAAATACAGTGACACATGACAAATGAGTTTCCATGAAAGGAAATATTTAACATATGGTTGTATAAATACAGCTACAACACATTGCTTTTCAAGGAGACCAAAAATGTCATTTGCTTAGAGCACTCTGGCACTGCAGCTCCCCTCACCTGTATTCGCAGAAGGTGTCATCATTCATTCCTTGTGACTCCACGTCGGGGTGGAGGTCCTCCTTCTCTTTCACTGCAGGGAACAAGAGCTATTTCAGCACACTGGTTCAGGGACACTTATCTATATATGTAATTACACATTTACATTGCTATGTTCCGACCGCAGGGCCACATATTATTCACTTTTTTTTAACTAGGGCATTGGAATAAAATCATCATTTATTTCAAGTTATGTGCAGAAAATATTTTGTAATACATTTAAAAAAAAAAAAAAAAAAAAAAACTGGTTGGCTTTTTGTAACAATGTGTGTAGGACAAGCTGTTTTCAAGATGTGGGTGAGATTATAGAAACTGCACTGACATTTTTCAAATAAAAAATAGGTCAAGTCAGATCAATAGCTTATGAAAAAACATCCAATTTTAACATAACCATTTAGTGGAATAGTTGAATTTTTAAGCAAACCCAAGAGGGCTCAATAGACAATAGAAGCCCATCTTCTGTGTATCCATGCACAGTGTTACACACCACCTTTTTTATGTCAACATATTTTAAAAATACCAGTAAAAGACAAAAGCTTTTTAAGGGGTTGGCAAATAGGGAAATCCAAAAGGCCCTGATAAAATATTCAGTGCCTAGTGTCAAAAGCTACTGCAGGCAAACAAGGGAGTAGAGATAAGAGATGCTTTGTATAGGTTTAGTAAGCATTCTTGTGTTGAGAGAGAATTTGTCTGGGACTCAGGGAAGGTCCAGAGGTGTGAGGGAATAAGGCCAGCTGATTCTCGCAGGTGCAGCCGACAGCCCGTCTAATCAGGTGAACCAAGCAGAACTAAGGGGACCATGCAAATTACACCCACAAGCAGGAAATGCAAAACAAAGGGCTTTTACACTGCTGTGGGCTGTGACTGGACAGGTCACTCAGGGTTAATCGTGTTGAGATTTAGAGGGTCTGCATGCACAGGTGTCCAGCAGGTCCAGATGGAGGGGTGCGGGGGTCAGGCGGCAGGCCCAAAGCGCAGTTTTGATCTTTCAGGAGGTCAACCAAAATCAAAAACACTGCCTAATTAAAGCATCGAAAGCTTTGTTTGTTAGCCCCATGTGGCAAAGGCATTCTGAAATATGGTGTTTGTTTTTCAAATTTATAACTAGATATTGTGGTTTTGGGGCCCTGGAGAAACGTTTGGACAGTGTTCTTGTCTTACAATATTTACCAAAAATTAAGATGCCACGTGAGGTCATAATAGATGAAAAATCATAACATTAATTTTAATAAACAAATATACACAGAACACAGTCAGTTTAGGTTGATATTGTGCAATCTTTAGAAAAGAGACCATTGGAAACAAAAAGTCAGGATTACTGGTTTTGCATGATACAAATGTTGTGCAGTAGTATAAAGCATTAGCTTGTATAACCAGCCTTAAATTGATTTTGGTCAACATTCTGAACACAGTTGGGTCCCTCTCCATCCCATGTCTAACTGACCTTGCTCCATGGACAGCATGTCCTTTGGCTGCGCTGGCTGTGGCGTACCTGAGTACTTTCCCCCTTTGTTTCTCCGCACAAAGCAGGCAATGATCGCAACCAGGGTCAACAGAGCCACAGCACACATGGTCCCGATCAGCCAGCCTCGCGTCGAAAAGTCCCTCTGCAAACTGGCCACTCCTGAGGACAAAAAACAAAAGATCTGAATTCACACAGACAATATTTGTGTCTAACAGCCCCCTGCAGCACCGTTCATATGAGTCTAGGCTGAAAACAAAACAGAAGATTTGGGTTTGCAACATTTTACTTCCCTTTAGCTATTGCACAGATGAGAAAAGACAACACAGTAGGGAGCCCATGCTGGGGTAAAATATATATTACAGATAGATAACCCACATCAACAGAGGTGGATGCATCAGTAGTGCTGTTTTGCATCGTCATTCACAGTACTGACAAGGGTGACCACCTCAAATTGTGGAAATACGACTTGAATGTGGTGGGACATGAAGCAAGCCTCAGGAAATTGGGGCTAATAGTTACCACAATAACAGCATATAATTTTCAGGTTTTATTAGGCGAATGCAGATTGGAATAGCAAAGGGTGTAAATATATTACAACTCATCAAGCCAGTCCACCCAAGTCTTAATTTTTTACAAGGAAAAGAAATCTTATCATGTTCTCTATGTAAATGTCACTTTTTATACATGGGAAAAGGGAGCAAAATGTGTAGGTGGTCACCCTAATATGGACACATTGGTGCCCTCTCACCTGTGCCTTGGGTCTGGAACACATCTTCATAAATGCTAGCGTTATCGAACATCCTCTTGGACATGAGGCGCACAGTGTACAGCGTTGCAGGTGCAAGCCCATCGAGTAAGTGGAAATTCAGAGAGGAATTTACAGCTTCTGAAACCTGCCACAAACCATCACCTACACAGCCAAGCACAGGACCAACCATTTGTGGTATTCTTTACAATATTATTTAATAGTAACAAGTAGTGGACTGAGAGATCATTGTAGTGTCCGGCAGAAGAAAAGATTTAAGCTGTAAATGTTACTAAACAAATTTCTAAGATTATTTTGAGAAGAAACATCACGATTTTACAATTTATCATGATTATTGATCCAATAACAAACAGTTAAATCCTTGATTCTCTTACATTCATATTGTCTAATAATTGATTGCCATTCCCCCAGTCAAAAATGTCACTAGCTTCATGAAATCAAACTTTATGCATAATACAGTAAAGGACTGCCTCTACATTTGTTATATACAATAATATTATGACTTAAGTAATCTTTATAATTGTTAATAATCGTAACACCCCTAGGTTTAGCCATCTAAAAATCATTTAATATATTTCAATTTCACTTCTATATTGTCAGGTATAATCATAATTATACCATAATATCCAGTAGCTTTTTAAGAAGCAGAGTTATGAAATATAAACAAAGCAAATAACACTCCATATTTTCATTCTCTGTACTGTACATTGGCATTTCATTCAGTGGCGTACTGTATAAACTATTACCCATAGTAATACAGTATTATAGTATTCATAGTAACACTTAACACAACTATTGTAGTCTTGTCAGCATTGACGCACAATAGGAGATAATTGTTTTTCACACTTTCTTGGCACAAGACTCCATATGGATGATGTCAAAGTCCACAGTCAAATGTTAATCAATGAATTTACTTAATTACAAACAACAACTACTATTACTACTACTACTACTACTACTACTACTACTACTACTATTATTACTACTACTCCTACCAAAAACAAAAATACATTGGTTTTATAAAGCACTTGATGCTTAAACTCATGCATTAACCATTCACACCATACACAGAACTATTACTACCACTACTGTTAATAGCACCGTACATTCTTATATTAGATGTTTATATAATAATTCCCACTAAAGACAGGTCGTGAGCACGTGAAGAAGCTTACGGTTATTCATATAAGCCACATAAAGCTCCAAGTCGTGCCGCTGGTGTGTGGCAGTCCAGCTGATTTTGGCATAGGTGTCACTCACATAGGAGCTTATGTTGAACAGGGCTGGAACTGATAAAGAGAGAGAGGAGTCGGGAGGAGGAAGGAAAGAAACACAGAAAAGAGACAGAGAGTCAGGCAAAGAGGATTAGCAGAGGCAAATAGGATCCCCCCGCAGCTCGGAGAGGAGACGAGCTCGCACAAACCCTTCAGAGCCACAGTTGAAACGCCAAGCTCGGGCTGCACACTTAATTGACTGAATCTGGATTCTGCCTCATAAAGGAGCGATACAGAGATGGTAGGCGGGGATTGCATGTAGTCGTCAGTTTCCAGCCTGTCTTAAACGAAAATGACATCCCCCCCGCCGCCCCCCCGCCTTCATCTCATATCCCAATGGCTTCAAATAGGCTGTCATTGTGAGATGGAAGTTGGGGCGTATCAGATCACATGGATAGCTTTGCCTGTGTAGGTGCCTCAGAGTTAGAGGTGTACCTAAAGGCAGATGAGTGGAGCTGGCAGGGGACGAGCTGACAAGAGAGTGAGAACAGTAGTGGCCTGAAATGAAAAGACAAGTCTCTGAGGTGAGAATCCTGCTACCAACACTGTTACCAGTTTCTTTCAGCTGTATATAATAATGCTGCAGGAAGCATCTCTATAGGGTACAATGGAAGAAAGAAAGTAAAAGTAAGCAGAAAAGTGGGATTAATAATGGCACAAGGCACGAGCAGTGAGTATCATGCAAATCTAGAGAAAAAGTGGCATTTTGGCAAATTACTGATTCATAAAAAAATGTATACTGAACTATGAGTCTCTGGTATTTGGAAAGTTTAAAAGTTTGAATTCTAATACTTACAAAATCAAAACAAAGAATTGTTATTGCCTAGAGACCCAAGCTGCATTTTTGGATAAACTGACATGCCCAGTAAAATCTGATATGAAAAATAAGACAAACCCAATTTTTAGATCTGATTTTTGGTCTGAGTTTGCCACATCGGTTTGCCCTTTTTGCATAATTTTCCTTGTCAAAACCTGCACAAGTGTGAACAATCAGAAAGAAATCAGATTACTCACATCAGATTTAGCTGTTTACTTTTTGATAATCTTCAGAAATCAGATAATGATCAGATATCTGGCATGCATGTAAACAGCCAGTGTTTGTGCAATGGTATGCTTATTAAGATGTTTTCATTGATATGCCCAAAACCTAAAATGGTATGTTCCACAGTAGATAAAATATTGGGCGAAAATATTGTGATTTTTGTTGTCTAGTGTTTACTGCCAAATGTTTCAAAAGATACTGAAAACAATTTAAATAGCTGACAAATTCATGCATAAATTAAATCTGATAATGTAGGTAATTTGCAGAAATGCCTGGGGTTTATTAGCAGAGGTGAAGAGGTTCTTTTACTAATTGCATGGTTAATTTTGTGTTCTCCACCACAAACGCTCTACTGAAAGCCACTAAAAGCCAGAGTTTTGCTATGAATGCTAAAAGTGTTGACTATCTATAGCACTACTTCTATGTGAGGGAGCTCCAGGCGGCATACATACTGCTCTGAACAGGGGCCCCAGCTGCAGTCAGGGACAAATCTTCAGAGGGATAAGAAGAAAATAAAATACAGCTCAAGATTAGAGATATATGGAAAGCCAGCTTTAAGGGTGACGCACACACTCACAATCCCAAATAAAACTATGTACGCACACACAAGCATGGATTTTCATCACCGCTGTCGTAAAGGTGCAAATGTGCTCCCAAAACAATCTGTTTCTATGGGCTAGATAAGAATTGGTGAATGGTAGAAGGCTACAGTAAAAGTTACAAGTCACAGAGCAATATGGAAATGCATTGTGAAGTCCTAGTCATTTGGTGGTCTTATTTTCTTCTCATCTTTCCATATTTGTCTGATGGTAAATAATACAACTCAAGGGTTGTTGAAAAATCCATACCCAGTTAAAGCCCCACCGTGTAACTTTTTAGTCAAACAAACAGACTACAATAAAAACTTCTTTTCATTGTTGAAGTTGTTATTGCTTTGAAAGTAGTATTCCTTTGGCTATAATATTCTGCAGTATGGTATATAATGTTACCCAGGCTTGCACCACCTAGTGCCTCCGCTCAGTTTCATTTCTCTCCAGCAACTAAGTCAGGAATTGAAATACAATAGACAGTTCGCAAAACCCTGGAAGTGCAAATTCGGGCACCAGCCAATCAGCGAAGAGTCTTATATTCAGTGATATGATATTCAACGATTCCCGAGATCGAGTATTTAAACCGGACTAAAGAGAATGTTTGGTGAATTTCATCAAGGGGAAAGACGTTATTGCCCTTCTTCCTACAGGATTTGGGAAAAGCCAGTTAGCCCCCTGTAATACACCAATTAGCCCCGTTAGAGGCCATGACCATGACCAAATAGCAGCGATTGGTTAAATGATAAAAAGTACCCACCTACCGTTAAGAGAACGAAATCTAAGGCTGCGAGGTCAGACGGTTTGTACAAAGTGAAACGAAGTAAAACTGGCTGATGAATCAGGCTAATAAAATGTACCACCATGGACAATGTCCAGAAGTATGGTTTGTATTTCCACAATGACGTTCCATCTCCAGAAAGTTGGTCAGTAAGTCAGTACTAAAAAATGGATAGGAAAGACATGGATCTTTCTGGGATAGTTTTAATAAGGGTCTTAATCTATATCAGAACTAATATAAGACAAATTAGTAATATTGAAGTTTTTGATTAATTAGTATTGAGTATCCAGCATTTTCCTTTGAATCTACATCAAGTTTTTTAGTATTTTGGCAACATGGGACTGGACAAATGTGGTGCTTCACATATTGATTTTTTTTTTTTACTCCATGCTTTCCCAAATGGAACACCCCAATTACCAATGGCTTTGTATTAACAAGAAAATTCACAGTGATTTTAGGTTACATTGTTATCATCTTAGAACTGACAATTTTAAGATTTTGCCAAGAAAAAAAAAGACTCATTTGAGCAGAGGGGGAAATAATCAAAAGGCAAAAAGTTTCACAGTCAAACTTTGCACCGGTGTTCATTTGAATTGCTTATGTGAACTGCAAGGGCAAAATCCACCAAGGCCCTGTCATTCTGTGATTCCGTCTCCAAAACAGAGCACCTCTCGTTGGAAAAAGGTGAAACAAAACACAATTTGACAAT